GGAGAAGATGCTAGTTGTAGGAATGAAGGTAGCAGTAGTAATAGCAATTTTCAGATTGAACCGGTTGAGCATTTGCGTAATGAAGGTAGCAGTAGTAATAGCTATCATCACCAAGAGGAACAAATGGTAGATTGTGATAGGGTTCATGATATGGTAGGTGATGCCTTTGTAACTCATGATGATGATGAAGTTGAAGAACTTAACTTAGATGCCAAAAAGTTTTATGAAATGTTAGATGCTGCGAATGAGCCAATTTACAGTGGTTGTAGAGAAGGTCTGTCTAAATTGTCGTTGGCTGCTAGAATGATGAGTATTAAAACCGATCACAATCTACCTGAAAATTGTATGGATGCATGGGCAGACTTGTTTAAAGAGTATTTGCCAGAAGACAATGTGTCTACTGAATCTTATTATCAGATTCAGAAATTGGTATATAGTCTTGGGTTGCCCTCGGAGATGATAGACGTTTGCATCGACAACTGCATGATTTACTGGGGAGATGATGAGAAGTTAGAAGAATGTCGATTTTGTAAGAAGCCACGATTCAAACCGCAAGGTCGAGGGCGTAATATGGTACCGTACCAAAGGATGTGGTACCTACCAATCACAGACAGATTGAAAAGATTGTACCAATCTGAGGAGACTGCTGGAGGGATGAGATGGCACGCCGAGCATACTCAGACGGATGGAGAGATGACTCACCCATTAGATGCAAGAGCCTGGAAACATTTAAACAATGTACATCCACATTTCGCTAGCAATAGCCGGAATGTGTATCTTGGATTATGCACTGATGGATTTAGTCCATTTGGAATGTTTGGAAGACAATATTCATTGTGGCCGGTCTTTCTTATACCGTATAACCTGCCACCGGAGATGTGCATGCGGACGAGAGTTTCTATTCATGACCATATTTATACCTGGTCCAAAACATTCAAAAAGATCTCTCGACGTTTTTCTACAACCACTGATAAAAGAGTTGAAAGATTTGTGGTCAACAGGGGTGAGGACATATGAATGTTCAACGAAAACAAACTTTACGATGCGAGCGATGCTTTTGTGGACCATAAGTGACTTTCCTGCATATGGGATGTTGTCTGGGTGGACTACACATGGGAGATTAGCTTGTCCATATTGTAATGGAATGACAGATGCGTTTCAGTTGAAGCATGGTAAGAAGACTAGTTGGTTCGATTGTCACCGTCGATTTCTTCTCGTTTACCACCCATACCGAAGAAACAAGAAATTCTTCAGGTACAAAAGGGTTGTCAGAGACACTCCTCCTCCATATTTAATTGGAGAACAAATCGAAGCGCAAATCAATTACTACTGTGCTCTAGAAACAGCTCCTCGTGGTGGGAATTGACATGTTCCCAGTAATATGCCTGATTCTTATGGTGTTCAGCACAATTGGCACAAAAATAATATATTTTGGGAATTCCCATATTGGAAAGATCTTCTTTTGCGCCACAACCTCGATGTGATGCATATAGAGAAGAACTTTTTTGAGAACATCATGAACACTATATTGAATGTCCCAGGAAAGACGAAAGACAACGTAAAATCAAGGTTAGACTTACCCGATATCTGTTTAAGGAGTGAGCTACATATAAAAAGCAATGGGCAAGTTCTAGTT